TTTTTTTTTTTAATATTAATAGTCTCAGGTGCATATTGGTAAATTTAAGTGATTATTTGAATTTGAATTTGAATTTGCTTATTATCTTCTAAGGGCAACCCTTTGGCATTTAAGCATTTAGCAGACTTTTATTTGTACTGTGTTGTTTTGGTGTTATATTTTTACTCAATCAGTTCTTTATTTGTGTACAATTTTTACATTCTTTGTCTTTGACTTCTATTATATGTACCGCATGCTCTTCTATATGATCTTCTTTTACGTTCCCCTCATTTGCGTTTGCGCTGGCAAGCATTTTTACTTTGTGTCATACTTGTATCGCTGCTCACGATCATTGTACATATTTCTTCCCTCCTCTTTTTCGTCGTGTCTTTGCATTATCATTCGAGCGCTCGCTTTTTGCTGCCGCTTGCAAATTTCGTAGATTTCTACATGCAAACCTACATACATATATACATACATACATACTTGAGCAATCGCATTTTATGGCAAAGCTTTTGCAAATTATTTGCAATCTCCTACATTCCATTTCCATAAAAAGCAGTAGCACAAAAAAATATGAAGTACAAAATTAAAAAAAAATAATAAACAAACAGCATTACCTTCGTTTAACCGTACATGTATCACCTTCGTAGATTGTGCAAAGAAAGAAACAAACAAACACATTGCGGGAGAGGTAGAGGGCGGGAGCATTATAGACGCTCTCAATTCACGATTTGCGTAAGCCAACAAGTGCAGTTCATGACACGGCAACACTTCGCTAAATTGTTTCATTTTGCACTCAGTATGGCCAGACATTTTTTGTAAAAAAAAACTGCCAAGTGAAGCATAAATTATCAAAAAATTGGGAAAAGTAAAAAAATACAAAATAAATTTAAAAAATTTATATCGCAAAACATTTATTAAGTACTATAGAAAATACAATACACAAACAAAAAATGGATCCTAAATAAGCTCCATTTAACTACATTTGGATGTATTTATTTATGTTCATGCAAACATATCCACTGCTTAAATTTCCCAGAAGAAGAAGTAGGTAATCAGTAGAAATATATTTGGGGCATTCTTTCTGAATCGGAGAGTCCATGCTCCCCAAAACCCATTTGGCCCTAAACACCCGTGCGACAGTGAAATCGAAAGCTTATTTCCTCTTGTTTTGAATCCCGTGTGACAAAATGTGTGTTTAATCAAAATGGCGAAATAATATGAAATTTCAAAAAAATAAAAATAAAAATATCATCGTGTTCTTCAAAAAAGTTTGCCTCAAAAGTGTTTCAAGTACAATGTTCTTTAGACACATAGTTTCTGTGAAAATAATTCATAAATATTTATGTATTTCAGCGGCGCTGCACAGACTACAAATTTTTAAACAATAACTTTTTATCGAAATTTCAACTTTAAAATCTGAATTTTTACAAAATTTTTGGGTATGCAGTTTCATAGCCCATACAATTTTACTCCTTATGAGACTTTCGTGCCAGGATGAACAAAATCTTTCAATTTATCTTGCATACTGTCTTTCGCTTGTCTTCCAAAAGACTTGCAACGATCTTAGCCCGAATTGCACTGTTAGTTTTCATTTGAATCAATATTATGACACTATTTCGTTTTTTTGTTTTTTTTTTAAGTAATAACGCTTTAAGTAGCGGTTTACAACTTGTTAATATTTTTTTTTATTAATCCGAGACACCCGTTTCCACATTTACTGTTGAAAACGACATATAAAATCTTCAAGAGCTGCCAGAAGTCTTCATAGTGTAGATTTTTAAGGAAGTTTTTATGTTAAGATTGTGACTTCTGACAACACTGTTTGCACTTTGCATGAGTTAATACAGCACCTTGTATGTGTCAGGGTTTGTGGGCTGGATTTTCTTTTCTTTTTTAGTCTAATTTACGCCACTCGCTTTTCACCTGCCAACACATGACTAAAGAGCGAAATACACCACACAAGCGGTTTGACAAACCAAGCGAAATTTCCCTTTGCTTCAAGCCATTTGTGCTGTGTATGGGGGTGTTTGAAGGTTTGACGGCGGTTTGTCAAACCTTCAAACACCCCCATACACAGCACAAATGGCTTGAAGCAAAGGGAAATTTCGCTTGGTTTGTCAAACCGCTTGTGTGGTGTATTTCGCTCTTAAGCATTGCTGCCAGAAAGGGGCTAAGCCCCACTGCGCATACTTATACAATCTTTAATTTTTTTTAGCTGCTAGAGTTGACGAAATTTGGGCGTTGCTGACTCGCTAGTTGTCTAGCTGTCACTTTGCATGACATGTAATAATTTTTGGCTGAGCCCATACTTCCTTTGCTTTTTTTTTTTTAATAAAGCAAAATGTTGCGATTATTTTCATTCTCTCTAAAATCTTTCCCACGCTTTTTTTCATGAATTCCATTTAGCTAAAACAAATTCTTCACATGCTTGCGGTCAGTTGGCAGCTTATACGTTCTTGCCTTTTCCGTTTTCTTTATTTTCCCGCACACCCCTCACATATATATTTGTTTTTTTTTTTGCTCATTAAGTGGTTTAACTTGTTTGGCAAATTTCGCTATTCTAATCGCCAAGGTTGTTGAATTGTGACGTTTGCATGCATTTTGTACATTCATATTTACAAACATAAATCAGAATTTTCTGGTTTTATTTTGTATGTTTGCGTTTGCACATTATTTACCAATCGATATCGCTTATTTCATGTGAAGGGCGTGCTCATATCAATTTAGACAAATGTATATAATTTGTAATTCTTCGATTTGCTTATATTTAAGCGTGTATTATGTATGTACAGTGTGCATAAATGTTTGCATATGTATTTATGCACAAATATCAGTTTTCCATCTTATTAAAAATATTGAATAGCACTTGATTATTGAGTGCAATTAATTTTTTTTTAATCTTTTTTAAGTCTAAGCACGTCCAGCTGTGGGGCACATTTCCGGTTTCTGATATAAAATCAGCCGTTTATTTTTAAAGTAACATAAGTGATTTGATGCAGTTTGACTTCAGTAATCATTTGCTTGTATATGAACGCGTCTGTTATTCGTTCAACTTCATCAGCCAAAGGTAAAAAGTGTTGTCATTAGTTTATGATGGTAGAACAATTTACAGCTGCATTCAGTTAGGAGTAACCAATCATTTAAGCACAAGAGGTGGGTATGAGACTTATGCTACTTTCAAGATTAACAGCACATACTAATATGTATGAAAAATATTGTATTACAATCGCATTTTTCGGTACATACTAAAAAATCATCAAAATTCATGCATTTAATTAACAACGACGGATCTCAAAACTTGCTAAGTAGTAGATTTTTAATACGGTAGACAAACGGGCTCGATTATTTGCATAACCAGCCTTAATTTGCTTTAACTCATGCATTTTCCTCTTTAAAATGAGCATAAGCAGCCGATCAAATGCACGAAATTTTTGGGAATTAACTCGGATCCGGGGAATTTTCGATGACAACACTGGTAAAAACGGCCAGTTGTTGTCTTTTGCACAAGTAAGCAAACGAAGCAGTAGAGTTTCGCGTACGCGGTAGCCGAGTGGTGAGAGTTGCGAGCTACAAGCCTGTAGCTGCCAGGTTCGGTACTCGGTTGGAGCGATTGCGAAACATTTTTTGTTTTTATTATTTATTTTATATTTTTTTATTTTATTTTATTTATATATTTATTTATTTTCATTTGCTTTATTTTATATCACATTTCTTATTTTACTATTAGTTAATTTTAATTTTTAGAAATGAATTTTGTTAAAAATTCAACGACAACTATCTGAAAGTAACGTAAAAAAAAATATAGAACTTATAAAAAAAGAATGAAAAAGGAATAAAAAAAGTATACCGGCCGTGGGACTCGAACCCACGACCTTACGGCTGGTTTATTCGCATTACTGCCGTCTGTAAGGGTAAAATTTTAATTTGCATTTATGCTTATTAATTCAAATTAATTTTCTCCATCTGTCTACCATATAAGTCTATATTCAGAGGATTTTAGATGAACTTTGGGGCTTGATACTCAAAACGGTCGTTATAAGCCACGATAAATTTTGCCGAATTCACAGTTTAAATGTAAACTACAGTTTTTTTCGGAATTTCCGATTTGAACGAATAAACTAAATTTTCTCTTTTGGTTTTTTCGCAAGTAAATTTTCAAGGTAAAAGGAGACGTTGAAGGAGCCCTTTAAAATGATATCCGACCTTTTTTTGTTTTTATCACAAAATTCTCTGAATTAACATTGTGTAGGCTTTTCCCCCTTTAAGTGGGACCGAAGATTTTATTGCGAGTGATGGAATATTATTTTTCTATCTGGTGCAAATCCTATAAATTTAACTTTGTTGCATCACAAAAAAATAAAATTTTCCAGTCATTAAGAGTACAGAGGCGGTATTTCTTTGCGAACTCTAATCGATATCTTCTATAATCTCCGGAAAGCAACGGCTTCTTCCTGAAATTCCTTCCGAGGGGCTTCACTTCACTAAATCGTCCTATTACGATGTCGACAGCTCATGTGCTTCATACTTTTTTTTTTTAAATCGCAGATGAACTTTACTAGCGTCTTACGCGGGTATTTCAACAACAAGAATCAATTTTCAATTTGATTTCTTAGAAAAATTTTGAGATACAGTTTTGTAAACATTAAAGTAATATGAAAGTGCAAGTTTCAAGTCGCTAAAAATTACCGTTGATTTTTGAGAATTTTTTTCGCTGAGGGCGTTGAGGGCCATCCTGTTACCGTTTTGCTCTTAGCATTAACTATATTCTAAAAAAAAAGATCGGTGCGAGTTGAGAAAGTGGTTAAGATGGTTAATTTTGTATCAGAATTGTTTTCCATCGTTTACCAACCATCCTCGAATTTTTGCGAATTAGCGAAATTCAGTCAAATAAGATTTTAATTACACTCAATTATCGCTTTCCACACAATTACACAGCTCATTTCTCCACTTTGTTTCATCCTTTGTACATATGTATGTATGTATGAATTAAAAATTAAATTTTTTTTACTTTTCAGCATTTCTCATCAGCATCCAACAGCGCTTTTGAACGCTTTGTGATTATTCGTATACAAAAAATTGCAAAATGTCTGCAGCAGTCGCATCAGCACCAGCGACAACGACGACAAAAACAGTAAACAATGCAACATCGTCAACTACCAACAACAACAACCGCAATAATAATTTAACTAAAACAACAGCAAAATCTTCGACTACTTGCGGCGATACGACGAGCAAAGCAGCAAATAAAAGCAACAATAATAACAATCAGAAAACTGCCTACAGCAGCAGCGGTGGAGGCGGTGGCAACGACACCAACGACAGCAAACAGCAACGCCTCAAATACATTGCGAATGTAGTGCGCGCTCTAGTGACATCACGCAAGCCACCGTGCAAATTGCGCGAGGTACTACGCGAGTATCCAGACATCGAAGGTGAACCATTGAATTTTCGCAAACTTGGCTATCCCACGGCCAAGGATTTGTTGAAGGCGACTGGCGAGTTTAGTTTTACGCAATATGGTGAAGAGGTGAGTGGGGGGTTTGGGATTTGAATTTCTGCGAGTTTGCGGAAAATCATAGGCTTTAATTTTAAGATTTTAGGAAATTTCGGTTTCATAATTTTTTTCTAACAAAGTATGGACCAATACTCTAATTTTTAGTCTGGCATGGTAGGCATGTAGGTATACCTAGTTCATTTTTTGAAAAGTATCAGTCACTTTTATTTCTAAACTATAATTGAAAATGGCTTATTTACGCAACTAAGTTCCAATTCGATATTTATGTACCTAACCGTGATTGCATATATATGTAGGATATTTCCATCAACTATAGTATAGAAAAACAAGTAAGAAAGTCTAAGTTCGGGCGGAGCCGAACATTAAATACCCGGCGCAAGTATTAAATATATGTTTTCCACCTTTCCGAAAGCTACCGCTACATGATAAGCCGGGGTGTATACATTTTAAGTAAATTAGCGTCCTTAAATTTCGAAATATTGAAATTTCAAGCATATCTGAAATTTACCGTTATATGAAAAGCGGCCTCAATTTTAGTCCGATTTCAACAATTTTCAACGGTTTGCTTTTATGTGGCAAGCACAATAACCATACCGAGCTTGGTACAAATTGCTAGAACGGTTAGCGAGATACATATATGTGATCACAAGTGGGCGGTGCTACGCCCATTTTCCAAAATTTTGTCATAAACGTATTTCTTGGTAAATAATTGTTGCAATCATCAATTTTGAATAAATTAGCTTCAATATTTACTGATTTATCGAAGATTTTGTATTTCTCGAAATTACCGTTATATGGGATGTGGGCGTGGATATTGGACGATTTTAGAAATTTTCGGCCAGTTGGTATGCTGTACCAGGACCAACAACTGTGCCAAGTTTGGAAGAAATTGGTGCAGCGGTTACCAAGATATACACATGTAACCATAAGTGGGCGTGGCTACGCCCATTTTCCAAAAATTTATAATATTCATGTTTTCCGTCTGAAACTCATTGTAAGTATCAATTTTGAGTGAATTATCTTCAGTAGTTACTAAAATATCGCAGTTTTCGTATTTCTTAAAATTACCGTTATATGGGAGGTAGGCGTGGTTATTGTCCGATTTCGCCCATTTTCAATACCATCCGTCCTACGCCCAAAAGAAGTTCACGTACCAAGTTTCGTTAAGATATCTCAATTTTTACTCGAGTTATCGTGTGCACAGACGGACGGACGGACGGACGGACGGACGGACGGACGGACAGACAGTCACCGCTTAATCGATTTCTCTTTTCATTCTGATCATTTATGTATACATTTGTCTATATCTATCTCGATTCGTTTTGCCTGTTACAAACAACCGTTATGTGAACAAAGTTATAATACCCTTGTGCACAAGTGCGCTCGGGTATAAAAAGAGACCGATGCTTTGGCCTGATGCATTTCTGACCAATAGCTTTTACATTTATTTAGTTGATTCCAATGGCGATTGGGAGCCTACTAACTGGTAAGCATGAAACTAGGCAATAAATCTATTCAATTTCCATTTGGAGCCTCCTTAAACGTTTTTATTTTTTTGTTTTTCGTTATGTTGTGAACAGTTGTTCTCTTAGGTAAGCACCCTGTATCCCACACTTGTGTGTTCTCAATCAAATTCTAGAAATTTGGGTCTCATTTGTCTCTTAAAATATTCCACCAATGCTTGGCCGCATTTTGTCACACGCTTTTATTGCAGTGCATTCCCAACAAGCAGCCAATTTGTCTGTGCCGTTCGCTTAGAAAGTTTTCTAAAAATATACACACACACAGTTCTAGTGCAACGAACTTTGGCCTCTCGGAAGTTGTTTAATTTGGCTAACGTTTCAGTAAAGTAAAATCTGGTTAACCTTTTGATTACTTAAAATTTTTAAATTAAAATAAAACAGCTGGCAGTGAATACTATTTAAGGCCAATTACAACATAACAAATACATATAATCACGCATGTAAGTTCAAAAGCATTGTAAAAATATTTATCGCATTATATCAGCGTAAAAAAGAGCTTTCTGTTTCCTTCTTATTTTGTACACCAATGCATTTGCGATCACTTTCGATGTTCACTTTGTTATTCTCTGAGACACATTCTGGTTACTCTAGGTTCAGACAGAGAAGCTTTTGTCGCGGCAACTCGGTACTTGTGGGAGAGGGAGTGACGAGGAAGGGGGAAGGGCTCGGAGTTGCTCGCGCTCGGACAACACGTTTTGTGCTCTCGTTCGTCTGAGTAATTCTAGTTGGTCGTTCACAGCTGACAACAGCAATTGTGTACAAAAGAATTGCTATGTGTGAACGCGAAGGGCAACACCAAAAGAGAAATTGCCGAAAATGAGCAACGAAAGTTTCTCTGTGTGAACCCAGTCTTACCCTATTAAAATAGATTTTCCTCTCCATTGCATTCACCCTTTTTGCCAGTGCTGCCATTTCAGCTGTTTTCCGGCTAGATTTAGCCAGTTGCGATAGCAAACAGTCGGAGAAATTTCGGTTTAGCCGGCAGCCGATTTGTTAGCCGTTTTGGAAAAAAATTAGCCGTTTTTAGCCAATTTTGCTATTTGCCTTATTTTCTTATTGTTTAAACAAACTTTTTTTTGTCGAGAACTTATTTAAATTCCAAAAAAATGGGAGGTCAACTTGAGTTAAAAGAACCATCACTGAAATGCGTCAAAATGAAAATAAAAGAGCACACATTTCTATGTAAAACAAAACTTTCTGGGAAGACAATAGGTTTGTTCGTAGAAAATCCAGCGAGAATTATCACTCGAAATATCAGATAGTAAGAAAAAATGCTCCGAAATTCTCTCTCAAGTAGTGAAATTTGCAAATTTGCCGGAATTTGCAAGTTTCCCGGCCAGCTAGTGTCCACGGTTGCATTTCTATCATAAGAAATTTTTATAGAATTTTTAAAATTCTTTCAGAGGGGCAAAAAACAGGTTCTACATGTATGTATATTTTGCGTTAGTCCGACTTTCTTCAACATACGTTTCAATTTCTTTGTCGTAGTAACTGTCTGGTTACGAATCCATTTTTTTCTGCCGAGTACCTTTCAAATCATTGCAATTAACTAAATTAATTAAATAAACAAGTATTTACTTAATTTTTCATTTTAAAATCGGTCAAGTTTGAAAATTTTTAAATTTTGCGAACTTGTTTATTCAAATTATCGTCGACAAAAAATCCAACCGTGTGCCACAGTCATATGTTTTTCCTAATTGCAAATTCTTGCTGGCATAATTTTTTCTAGATTGAATTTGCAACTACTCTCCAAGAACTAGTCTTTATACGTGTGAGTTATTTAAATGAAACATCTGAAATTTAGCTCAAACAGTTTAGCCGTTTTTTTTTGCCAATTTAAGGTATTGGCCCAATGCACGCTTGCTTTGCTTGCTTGGCTTTGAGAACTGTCAAACAATTTTTAAAATCTACTAAAATGTATGAAAGTTGGCCTAGTGGCAGCTTTACTTCACTTCCTTCAAAGTAAAGCAAAGCAAACTAAAGTAAGCAAAGCAAGCAAAGCAAGCGTGCATTGGGCCAATACCTTTAGCCGGTTCGTCCCAACCAAGGCGAATTTATATAAGGTGGTGTTACTAGCTCAGCTGATTTTGTGTATGTGTTTCGCCGCACGGCTTCTGATATCAAATTGAAAAATTTTGTTTGAATTTCTACACACACTCTTACAGATTTTGACAGTTTATGCCGCCAAAGCAAAAACAAAATACATGTAAATTTTTGTTTTTGTACTCCTGCTATCACCTTATATTAATTCGCCTTGGTCCCAACAGTTCTGGCAACACTGCTTTTAGTTCATATTCTAGTTGAAGTTCTCATTCTCTCTCAATCTCCCGCAGACATACATAAATGCCGCACCTAGCTCAAAATCGGCACACATATCGTCCATGGTGAGACAGCAGAAGGCGAGCAAATCGACACGGATCAAGGTGGCACCACAAGTGAGACAACCGAAACGCTCCGATCAGAGTTGGAACAAGAGCAGCTACTCATCAAACGTCTTCCAGCGTTTGCGGACGACGGGTCAACAACAGCAGCAACGTTGGCGCAGTAATGCGACAGTAGCGGCGGCGGTAGGAACAGGGGTTGGTGATCGCAATAACAACAATAGTCAGCAGCAAAACAATAATAGCCGTAATAACATAGGGGCCGTCGGCTTACAAACGCAACAGAAAGAGAAGGAGAAAACGCAACTGCCAAAGCAAACACAGCCACAGACACAACAAAAGGCGCAGCAGCAGCCGCAACAACAACAACAACTGCAACCACAGAAAACCCAGCAACAGCAGAAGCAACCAGCTCAGCAGCAGCAGACGCCCTTGCAGCGTCAAAAGTCGGTCGGATCGACAAATAAACCGGCTGTCGGTGGCGAAAAGAAGGATCTACGCGAAATGTTGAACGCAAAGGCGGCGCAACAACAATCAAATGGCGGTGGCGCAGCCAACAATATCAATAAAATGCCCGCTGGTCAGCCAGATTTGCGTGAACGCCTGAACGCGAAAAGGCAGCCGCAGCAACAACAGTCGCTCCCAACGCAACCGCGCCCCATTTTGGGGCAAAATAACAATTCGGCAATAGCGATTGCTTCGACATTGATATTGGCGCAGCGCGAACAAAAAATACAGGAGCAACATCAGCAACAGCGCGCACAGTTGTTAGCGGCACAGCAATTACGTCAACAGCAGCAACAACAAAAGCAACAGCTGATACAACAGAACTTGTTGAAGCAACAAGAACTGCAAATGCAAGCAAAACAAAAGCTGCAGGCTCAACAACAACTGGAAGTGCAACAACAGTTGCAAGCGCAACAACAGCTGCAAGCGCAACAACAACTACAGGCGCAGCAGCAGCAAATGCAAGCGCAACAGCAGCAACTGCAGGCGCAAAAACAGCAACTGCCGGCCCGACAAGTAATGAGCGGAGGTGGCATTGCAAAGTCAGGCGTTGGCATTGGCTCCGTGCAAGATCGCTTGCGTATTCGTATTAATAATAATCACAATGGAAATGATTTCGCTGCGTCATCGTCGACTGGCAGCAACACGCCGGAAACGTCTCCAGCGCTATCATCGGCTGGCTCTGACAAACTGACGACGCCAAGTCCATTTGTTGGTTCGGCGGCAATGCAGCAGCTGCAGCAACAACAACAACCACTATTCCATAAGCAGCGCTACATAGTGAAACAGCAGCAGCTGCAGCAACAACAACAGCAACAGCAGTTTGGCGAGGCCAATGGCCAGGTGAGTTTCAGAAATATGAATATATTTTATAATTATTTTACACTCCTCCTATACCCGCTCTCTCTACTTTATTCATTTTAGAACGTCATACCACCACGCGTTTTCCAATTCAACCCCAAACTCGATCCTATCACATCGCTGACACAGTATTGTGTGGTACGCCGTTATGCGCCTCCTGCTTTTAGCGCAATACGTTCGAAATTCTCACGCCTCTATCAGTGTCGTGTCAATGTGAATGGCACCATCTTCTCAACATACCCCAATGAATATTTGCATGAACATCTGGCACAAATTTCATGTGCACAAAAAGCCATTGAGCTATTGAAATTGCAAGAGGCAAGACGTCCATTGCCGTTGTTTTCGGAGGGTGATGCCGATCTTATTGATAAACTCTACAATGAGTTGCACCTACATCCACATGGCATATTTGCTAAAAATATACCCGAAATGTTCGAGGAAGCGTACCAACAGGCATTGCCAGAACATTGGTGGACATTAGTGCAAACGTCGCCCAGATTCACTACAGAATCGGCAACCAACAATGCTGTGATTGTGTTTGCTAACGAGGAGGCAGACAAAGACAAAGGTAAGCTGATATTGTAAATGAAAATGGACTGATAAAGTGATATCAAAGTGTTATAAAATTGTAGACGTAGGTAAGGTTTGTATTAGCAAGAATTTTAATATTGCAATCAAAGCTGTTTGGCTGCTAATGACTATCTTTTTCCTAAATTTGAGGCAATCTTTATAATCGTTAGACGGCATTTCTTGATCATAACCTCAAAGCAACAAGACATGATCGATAGAATAAACTCGAACTCTCATTTGACATCGAAAAAAAAAACATAAATTATAGATAAAATATGAACCGAAATTTTAAATCAAATGTGTATCGTAAAATTGATAACCGTTACAGTCGGAGTTTTCAATTGTTTATATGGAGTAAAAATTCTTACTACTGTTAAGTGGCTCATTTTTCTAATCCTTGTCTTGACTTTGTATAATGCCTACATACAAACAAGACAAGGATTATAGACCTGAGCCACTTAACAGTAGAAGGGTTGAATGTGTAACGACACAACCAAAATTCAAAAAATAAAATTCCTTGAGAGTGTTAAGTGGCTCACTCTCTTGTCTTATCCATGTAGTGGGACATGCGCCACTTAACAGCAGTAATAGTTTTTTTTTTTTTTTTTTTTTAAATTGCTCGTTATTGCAGAGTTCGTTATTGAAGAGTTCGATATGTACATACATATGTACATATATTAGATCAATCGTAAGTAAAGTTATCAATCAACTTGGATCACATCATAGCGTCACATCGCAATGTCAGCAGTTACGAAATAACTTGAGTGGTTCAACATGATATTCAGTTGCGCGTTCGATCATAGGTTGCATAGCGTCCGTATTCCAATTAGCCATATGAATTTCGTCCAATACGAGACCGTTGACCGTTGTCTGGTTTGAAGTAAAATAAACAAAATTGCTTCGGTTAATTCCAATTGGTAATTGTTTTCCCTTCAGTAACCGATTACTGTAAAACCAGTTGGCGATTTAAACCGCAGTAGTCATTGAGCTAAATGTCAATCTTATCCGATAAAATTCGCNCAGTAACCGATTACTGTAAAACCAGTTGGCGATTTAAACCGCAGTAGTCACTGAGCTAAATGTCAATCTTATCCGATAAAATTCGCTCCAAGGCGAATTTATATAAGGTGGTGTTACTAGCTCAGCTGATTTTGTGTATGGGTTTCGCCGCACGGCTTCTGATATCAAATTGAAAAATTTTGTTTGAATTTCTACACACACTCTTACAAATTTTGACAGTTTATGCCGCCAAAGCAAAAACAAAATACGTGTAAATTTTTGTTTTTGTACTCCTGCTATCACCTTATATTAATTCGCCTTGATTCACTTCAATTAAAAACAAAAATCGCACGCACATTTTATTGCTGCTAAATTTTTTAAATCTTTGCTATCAAAATTAAAAGAACTTTTCCTACTCTTTCCCAATCAGCTGGCGCTACCGGTGAAATTATACAAATGGATGGCATTGCTCTACCCTGGAAGCAAAAGTATTGGCAATTATACATCACATACTGCGCTTCGACGGTGGATGTGTGGGCGCGCTTATTCGGCAAGGAGTATAGCGAACGTTTCGATGCAGTTATGAGTGAAATCGATACACACATGGCCACACAAAAGACACGTCCACTATCGCTCGCCTGCAAAAATATCTACCTGGTGTGCATCAACGAATGTTGGCATCGAGTGCGCGTCGAGGAGCTGGATAAACCGAATGCAACAGCGCGGTGTTTCTTCATCGACTATGGCGATAGCGATTGGGTGGCCGTCAGTGAGTTGTACATTTGTGAGGCACAATTTTTACGTTTGCCTGCGCAAGCAGTGCCCTTATCACTATTCGGTTTGGAGGATTTCGCTGGTAATCCGAATGCGCGACGCCATCTTGATACGATGTTGTCAAGCAAATCAGTGGTGGGTGAGATTTTGACCAAAGAGAGCGATTTTTACAATACAGAATCGAGCGCCTGTGGTAAAATCCAAGTTGTGTTGTACGATACCTCAACCGAGGAGGATGTGAATTTGAATCCCTTATTGCTGAGCCAGATTTGCGATGACACACCGCCTCCGGAGATTAAGCATAAGGGCGCTACTAATGTGCTGGTGTCGCATGTGAGCGAAGACGGTGATTTGTATTTGCAGATACTAAACAGTGACTTCAAATATGTGCAGGTATGTAAAGTAGGGGAAGGAAGGTCGGGGCATGTGTTGCTTCAACGATATTTGCGATTATTGAATGTTTTATATGATTTTAGAAATTAATTCAACAACTCATCGAGTCGAAGTTCAAACGCGAACAACATAAGATCAGTGCCAGCGATTTGAAGCGCTCTAATCTCTTCCTGATTTGTGATGATACAAATGGCAGCGAGACACAATGGTATCGTGGCGCACTAACCGACATGCCGAGCTATAGCGCTGAGGACGAGGAATTTGATATATTCTATGTGGATCATGGTATAACCCGACGAACGCACATTTCCAAAATATTCCGGTTGGAATCATTGAGCACAGCGTTGAGCAAATTCCCACGACAAGCGATACGTGCACGTCTACACAATATACCGCCCATAACAAAGAGCATTGTGGGACGAATGCGCGCCTTGCTGCCAGCCAATTGTGCTGCGTTTGTGAGTAGTCTTTGAGGAGGGGCATGCTTAGTTATGGACCAACTAACTTTGTAACGTTTTAGGTAAAAATGAACAAACCCGGCAAATTGCCGTATGTAACAGTCTATCGTCGCCATGAGAGTTCGGATATGTTGTGCAATATAAACGAGGATATACGCATGGAAGCCGAATTAGAGTGGTCAATATTTAAAATTACATATCTTTATAATATATAATGATGTTGTTTTTTTCTTGTAGTTCTACGGCTTCTAATGGTGAAGATGATGATGTACCCGTTAATGGCAAACACTATGGACTCGCTAAGAATGCTAGTGGCGGTAGCCTGAACTCACCTACAACTCAACAAACATTTGTCGAAATGACACGCGGTCTGACGATCACTACTTCAGTGCCAAATTCACCACAAAAGGTAGCTGAGCTGCCAAAATTACAAAACTACGATGCGATACCACGTGATCCAAACGATTTTCTGGAAGTGCGTGTCACAATGTCGGCGAATCCTTCAAATTTTACGGTGAGTTGGGAGGTATTTTTCATTAATCTATGAAGAGTTCGAACTCAGTAGTAGTTATTCAGGATATGGGCGATTCTTATAAAGATTTTTTTCATTGCTGGTGTTGTAAAAGCATAAATCTCTTTAACATATTTTGGAGAATGCAGCTACAAAGACGGTTCTTGTTGTAGCCGCTACAACAACAACAACAACACGGTTCTTGTCGAAGAAATATCTGCGTAATTCTGGTAGCGCAGATTAGGGATGTTCAAAATCGTTTTTTTTTTAATTAATCATATTTTTCAGTTTTTTTTTATAATTTTGGTGCTAATAGTATTTTTCATTTTGAACCAAAACCGAAATTCGGTTTTTACATTCACCAGCAGTGTAAGGTAATTATTTTGTATACCTTGCAGATAGAATTAATTTTATGGCTTTCCAAAACTTCAAAATTAGTACTCAATGTTTACCTAAAGGCCAGTATGCAGCTCTGAAGAAAAGCAAAAAATTCAAATTTCTTTACGGCAGTTCTTAAGAAATTTGCTACGCTGTCTACTACAGTTTTCTAAAGTTTTTTGTGAAAAAGAGAAAGATTGAGGCAACAGGCTGTGAAGTATCAGAGGTCAAAATTCCTTGGACACATACACGAAATAATGGCGAATTTTTTCTTGACCGTTTTCTTGAGAGCGGCATACTGGCCTTTATCTGGAAGGTAAGCAAAACCGATTGTGAATATCGTATTTGACTGTTAAAACATATTTATTTAAATTATGGCTCCTATATACAAATCAAAAGAGTTTATGTTTTTAAATTAAAGTTTGCTTTTGCATAAATATGCCAAATCCTTTATTAATCTTCTTATTTTTGGAAATGAGGTTTTTAAATAAATTAAGGTACAAATATGTAATTGATTGGCTATGGCAGCAGTAAGTAAATTTAAATAGGAAAATGTTAAAAAATAACTTGCTTTCCTAACATAATAGAATGCAATACATATTAAAAATGGCGTTGTAAAAAGAAAATTAATTTTAATCATATATCGACGTTTCTTTTAATTTTGTATATATCGTTTTGTTTTTTTTTGGTAAACTGAAAAGATCAGGAATTAATCCAGTTTTTTTTTTAACGGTTTAAAACCTGCATAAAAAAACGGCGGATGATCGAAAACCGATCCCAAGCTTTTGCCTGAAGAAGAGTTCAAGTCTTGGGATTCATATGTTTTTTATACATATGTATAGTACATGAGCTAATCGCATTTAATCTATCCTTAGATTCAACCCTACAAAGACTATCCACGCCTTCGTGATCTGATGAAGGAGTTGCAAGAGTACTGTGAAAATAATGATGAATTCATACCGGCTGATATGGTGGAAATAGGACAGGCTTATGCGGCCAAGAATCCGGATGGTTTCTATCATCGGTGAGTTCTGCTAAACATATTACTAGCACTTTTCATTTAATGTTTTAATGATTTTGGTACTTTTTTATTTTGGTTAATATTGGAACTGTGTTTTTGGATTTGAAAATTTTTGAAAAGCTCCTTCAAAATGGTCTTAAATTCTGCTTTTGCGCAGCATTAGAAAACTTATAAATATAAATTTTTACTTTTACCTTAAATAATCCTATCCTTATATTTTATATCGACAGCGTTGTTGTGGTGAACACCTACAATGGTGATATGATACACGTTTGTTTCTGTGATTTCGGTGATATAGCTATTTTACGTAGCGATCAATTGAAAATATTGCCAGCCAAATATCGTCAATTGCGAAAAATGTCGATTCAAGCTAAATTGCATGGTAAGTAGATTTGGAACATTTTTAAAATCACCGCAAAATGTACTCAATTACTTATTTTTTTAAATCATAGGCATCACCGCCGCGCATGGCGACTGGAGTCTGGAAGATTGTCTACGCTTCCGTCAGTTAACAGTCGGTCAAAAATTTGTAGCGTCTATAAAACGTATTACATATGATAAGCTAGGTTCACCTGACACACCAATACTCGAGCTGGAATTGATTGATGTGACTACAGATGAAGATGTCTATATACATGAGATATTATTGAAGGAGCAACGTGCGATTAAAAATGGTGAAGTCGAAAGTAACTAAAGCTCAGACTAAAAGAAGAAGAGCGAAAAAAGCTATTTCTTAACTGTATACTAGATTTTAATGTAGGTTAGCGAAGGCATTTTTTGTTTATTATTTGCCTTTTGAAGGCCTTTTGATTTCGTGTGGATCTATTTTTTTTACTAACTTTAAAGAAATTCTTATTTCATGCGCTTTCAGAATGGAAAAAGAGGATAAGGATAAGGATAAGGACAAATACTAAGGAGAAGCCAATGAAAAGAACATGTTTTGTAGAAAAGAAAACAACGTAAAGAAAAAGCAGCGCTTCTTTCTGATTTGCGTATTCTGAAGAAAAGTTAATCAAATTACACTTGCGCACTTTGCAATCATGCGTTCCTCGAACTATGGTTTTTGCTGACTTTAGTTTAAAAATTTCGCATAGCGCTTCTGCTTTTTAAATCATAATTATTTTTTAGTTAATCGTTATTTTTTGAAATTCGTTGAATTAATCTCATTACTCTAACAAGCATTGCACTTAAATTGAAATAAAAATCTATACTTTAAATATTCGTTTGAGCGTGAAAGTCACATTCCGTACATTAATTCTCATACACAATACATTTTCGCCGCGTTTTGTTGACATTTTTTTTTTTGAGCTTAGTCATTTTAGCTATTAACTCTTCGCAAGGGTTGAATTCTTCTAACGAAATTAACTATTTTTTAATTATGAAATTAAAATAAATTAATTACCAAACGAAATGAGACTTCGACAAATATGCGCGATTTTTGTAAGCATACGAAGATATTACGATTTATTATTTTTCTTTTTAAAATGTTTATAACGAAGTAATTTAGTATTTAAATTATTATTAATGTTATTTTATGTAATACACGCGTATTACTAAAGATTTAAAAGTGAAATATGTAAAAAAAAACGTAAATTAAAGATAATTAAAGAATGAAAATTTAAATCTAGTGCGTAAATAAAATGATTCGTTTAAAGAAGTGTAGTCGCTGAGACCAAATGATATTGTTGTTTGCTAAAAAGGTCATTTTGGCAAATATTGTTAGCTACTAGCAAACTATTATTTTTGCTGCTATGAATGTGAAATAAATTATTTTTTTTTATTACTGACATCGGTAATTTGTGACAAAATGGTTAAGGATAATCAGCAAGACATTAAAAAATCACGTAATTAAAAGAGAAACGAAAGATTTAAGCGTAAAACGGAATAAGTGTTTACCATTAAAATGGAACAAAAAAATCATGAAAAATTCCCGAAAATGTAATAAATATGAAAATATAAAATCTATCCCTGAAGACAAATATCCATATATTAATTCTACCATATTAAATAGACAGTTTATTTGTGTTTTATGAGCATAGAAGTTGAACAAATGCGGTAAATTGAACTAAAATTCAACATAACCAAAAAAAACAAAAAACATTTATCCTGGAATTTTCACCTGCGAAGCGAATAAATTTGGCGAAGCGCACGGTTTGCTGAACACAGCTAAAATTTGCATAAAGATCGTTCGCCACGCAAAGCAATTTGTAAAATCAAAAAAACTTTGTACAAACTTGTACAAGCGAACACTCTTAATATAAATTTAAGGTGTGTTCGCCAATCTGTTCTCTCGCAAGTGCCAATACCAGCTTTATATATTAAATAACCAAATTGTTAAATGTAATTACAAAGAAATTTAAAGAGAGAAATAAATCATTTGAAAGTTAAAATAACTACCAAATTCATACAAATCACAGACGGCTTTTCACAGAACTAATTACTTAGTTTTGTGGACTAAAACTAAAATGGCATCAGCAAAACACTGCGCTTTAGTACTAAGGGCCAGTTTTTCAGTGGCAGTTTAAACTTAGATCACTGAAAAACTGGCCCTACGAAACAACTTTTCAGCGAAAAAGTTTTCCCATTATAAAGACAATTTATAATACTTTAACACAATGTTATTGCAGCAATTTTAATAACTAAGCATTATAATTTACAAAAGCAATTATTGGTTTTATAACCCTCTTTTAAAGAGATTACTAAGCTTTTGCAATATTAAAATGTATACCAGTTACAGCTATTTTACAACTACTTTAAATGATATAGTCTTCTTCGTAAAACCTTTTGTGGCATTTTGTTCGACTTTTTTTGCTCAATTCAGACGCAATTTTTCAATATGCAAATAACCCAACATACTTACCTAGTGTGTAAGCCTCAAAATTAATATATGTATATACATACATACATACACATATATGTCCACAGATATACATACATTCTTCATATGCATATGTAGCACTTTCTTCATATGCATATGTAGCTACATATAAAGTATCTATAGGGGTATCCACGATCCGGTGCATACTGTCTAGCATGGTGCATGTTTGGACACATGAAACAACAACAAAATTTGCCAATCATGCAATCTATGCAATATGCTAGACAGTATGCACCACATCGAGAATACCCCTTACCTACTTCCAAACACCGGCGTACATACATGTTCTATACGCAATAAAATGAAGATCAATGTGCAAAACGCAAATTCTATGCTAGTATGTTCTTTAGCTCTTTTGATTTATTTTTTGAATCCTTTTCGTTCCCACGCCAAAGGTTTAAAGGACTATGATTTGAGGACATGTGTTTCATGCGCCAGGACGCTTATTGGGGAATGCTGTCGCTATAATGCGCTGGTTAATGTTCTCGAGAGAGCAAAGGCACTCAGGTAAATTGATGGGGGGAGAGGAAAGAAACATCTAGCGCTTTGCTATCTCTACTGCAGCTGCCATGTAAAGAAGAAATTCAAATTCACTATTTCTCATGACAGAAATATGCTCGGAGGTTTGCCATTGCCTGTCGAGGGGCGACCGCTGTTAAGAAAAAACCTTTTTTCTAAATTTTTTGCCATGTTGCTTGAACCTAGGCGTTGCGGAGTGGAATCGCGCACTGCTTACCACTGCACCACAGCGGTCGTAAGAGTATCGAATATTCTTCAATGTTGATCAATTATGCATCAATAATTTTGTTAAATGAAAATCCCTTTTTTATTTGAAATTTTTCGTTTTCCCTTTTAATAATTCTTGATGCAAAATATCCCTCAAATAGGGAAATTACCCATTATATGGCATCACTGCACTATTCTCCGGTGAAACATCGTTATCGATTCTGTGTTTTATGCATGGAGTCGAAGACATCGATAACGATGTTACCCAAAGATTAGGGCACATGTGATCGGTAAAGCAGTCGTTGTATTTAACCGGAAAGAAAAATAATTTTCTGGCTGACGTTTGTAATTTCGGCGCCATGTTATTTTCTTTGAAAAGTAAACGAAGAATGAGAAGACTAAGGGCCGGTTTCTCTATCTCCGGTTAACACTAATCCCCCGGTAAACATCGTTACCGACCTTATCGACTCCCTGTTATATGCATGGAGTTAGAACGTCGATAACAATGTTTAACCGGGGAGTTAGTGTTAACCAGAGATGGAGAAACCGGCCCTAAGGGCCGGTTACTCAATGTCTGGTTAACACTAATTTCCGGTTAAACATAGTTATCGACGTTACCGACTCCGTTGTATGCATTAGAGGTATACGCCGCCGAGCCACGCCGCCGCCGCCGCCGCCGTTTTTTGTCATTTTTCACGCGCCGCCGCCGAATTACGAAAATATCGGCGCGGCGGCGGCGGCGGCGGCGTTCGGCGCCTAAGGAATTTTGTACTACTCGTAAACAACACTATTTTAGAAAATGAAAATTACATTTTTAAAGGAGTTTTTTTTTGCTTAATTTGGGCCACTGAACATTTCCAAAAAAAGCGTAACTCAGAAAAAACATAGGTAACACGTTTTTCAATCGAAAGCGTTTATTACAGTTAAATTAGGGTCGAATACTGGTAATCTGACAATTTTTTTCCGCAGTAGACAATTTTTTTCAATACTACAACAATACTACTTTTTTATATGCTACAACAACAAGAAAGTTATAACACATCTAAAATTTTAACGCCAATATCTCAGAAAGCAGTTTTAACAGAAGCGCCCTTATTGCATCTAACTCCTCAATTATTGGAGATAAAACAAAGATAAGTTGATTTTCCTGTGTATTTTTTTTTAATATTATAAACACACTTTTAATAAAAAGCAAACTCTTTTTTTGCTAATTTTTGCATTCGTAACTTATTTTATTCTGGAGTCCCGCAGACGTATACAAGTACTAGGTGGCTGTGTGAAAATTACGTTAGCATTTCTAAGTGGTGGTCAAATCCCAGGAAGGTTTTGCTCCCGCGCATCGCAATGTCTTCTACACAGGTTTAAAGTCCCCCTTTTTGCTAAAAATTACTATTATTTTTCATTACATTCGGTTCTCCTAAGAAAAATTTGGCGCTTTATATTTTAGTGGAAATTTTAACCATCTATAAGCCATTTTTTAAACAGTGGGTAAAAAGGCCCGTTCTGGTGGGAGTTGATGGGTTAAACTTTTGGAAAAAAGTAGACCAAACCTTGTTTTCAATACATAACCCCCAAAAAAATCGTAACAACTCCGTAATTTAACATAACGGTTGATAAGATTATTGCAAAAATTTATTGACAGCGATACAAATTACCCCAATAACTTGACCTTTTAAATTTTTGTATTTCTTTAAATTTAAATAGCACATACGGATTTGTAGAGAACATAGAGATGTACATATGTATATACCTCAAAATTTCGTGTGTTCGCCCATCCATCAGCGGCAGACACTCAAGATTTTAATGCAAGTAGAAAGTAATGTAATTTAAATTTAAAACTAATTCAATTAATGAATTAAATACAATTACAATCTGAATTGCCATGGCGAATGCCTAAAGGTGCCGAGATGACAGGACAAGATTAGTAGCCTCATGGCTCTTTGGAATCTACCTTATGAACAGTAGCGCCGGCGTCTCCAGACGCGCCGGCCTCGCCGCCGCCGCCGATTCTTTTTGAAGTTGACCACGCCGCCGCCGCAAAGCCGTTCGGCGTAAACCTCTAGTATGCATGGAGTCGAAGACGTCGATAACGATGTTTAACCGCAGATTAGTGTTAACCAGACATTGAGTAACCGGCCCTAAGCATAAAGAAAATATGCAAGCAATTTTGTAGCACATGTTTGTGCTTACCAGTTTATTATTTTTGTACGTGTTTCTGAAACGAATCACCGCGCACCTCATTTTAATTACATTTGCACAAAAAATTTATGGAAAATCGCTTAAAAATCACTGAAATAAACCACCGACAAAATAATACATAAAGAAAGAAGCAAAACAGAAATAGGAAACTTGAAAAGTACGAACGTCACACGGTTTTTTCTCAATTGCTATTACAAATGGCTGCTTCTCAACCGATCAGATCTGTTCTAATTGGTTCATGATGTTTAACCTATAGTTAAGTGTTAACCAGGAATTGAGAAACTGGCCCTTAGTAGCGAGGCACTACATAAATAGTTTTTGTTAGTTTTCAGATACATAGGTACATACATATGAAAATACTACATCATCAAAAAGAACGTACTTGCAATGATCAAAAGAGCCAAAATTTAATTTATTTCGGCATAACAGTTTCCCCGCTACTGCGCTGTTAAAGTAAGATAAACTGTTTTATCGACACATGTCAAATATAACTGTGCTACTACTACGCTAGTGCACAAGGTGCATCTATATAAGGTGGTGTAACTTGAACAGCTAGATATGATATTTTTGTCTCAAAACTAGTACAACAGAATGTCATCCAAGACGAAATGGTGTAACTTCAGGATGTCAACAAAACGAAATGGCGAAAATGATCTCCTATTTTCTTTCGTTTTGACATCCTGATGTACCAAAAAGCAATAACAAAATCACGCCTTGGCTAGTGCATACACTAGCGAGCTACTAAATGTACTCGTTGGAATACCAACGCTGACAGATGTTTAACAGCCAACCTGCTTGTTTCCCGTCTGTTTTTGACTTTTCTAGTCAGTTTGCTCAAGAAACGCGACAGTCGCGCTCCAAATTTTTGCTTTGCATTTGTATGTGAAAAGTGAATTCTGAAGTGAAGTAATTTTTCTAAAATAAATACAAATTAAGCGACGAAAAAGCCAAGCAAACCATTACCAATTAGATTGCATGCCTGTTGCGTGAAAAAATTTGAGATATTAAGCGAGCGAAAATGGATTGTGTTAAATTTATTTACGCCGCAACGTCTCCTATTGAAAAAGCAAAAGCCAACAGATACCAAACGCATTCGTTTATTATGGCGTCCGCCATCAAATAGCAAATTGCCTGAGCAACACATGAAATGTAATATTTGTGTGCAAGCAGAATTAAAAAATAAATGTGTTTGTGTTTGCGAAAGAAATTGCCGAAATTTTGAAAAAACACATAAAAAATAAAAAAATAAAACAGGTCTGCTGAAAACAGTATATTTTTCGCATTGAGAATTTAGTGTCGGCATCGGCATCGACTTCGGTTTATTGTGGTGGGCCAGGTAATAGAGAGACAACATAAAAATTTTGGAAGAACACTGACCAGCGTTGTCCAATTACATACATACAAGTAAGTAACTTTTGGAATGCATTAAATATGTACTTATATTTACTCATTTATGCACAATACACGGATATGTGTATTAGTGTACAAAGCAGCAAAAAAAAAAACATACAAATTGCTTGAAACTTTGAAAGGTTTTTTGTTTGTTTCTGTTGAGTTTTACTTTGCTTATGTTTAACCTTTTATGTTTTTGTAAAAATTAGCAATCGTTGTCCTATTGTAATGGATTTTTTTTCACTTACTGAAGTTTTCTTTACTTCAATTCGCAACTTTAAACTGCTAACATCAAATAAAACTTTTTCCATTTGTTATAAAAGTATTTAGGTTATGGGCGATGGAAAGGACAATAAAAATGGGATTCCTCAATTCCGGGGAGCTGAATTTGACGATTGGCAGTTCCGAGTCAAAATTCACCTGGATTCTCTTAATTAAAGAGGAGGATAAGGGTGAATTCCTTAGAAAGGATAAAAAAGCCATAGACCGCCTGGTTACGTTTGTCCACAATGATTGTCTGAGTTATATTAGGGGGGAAAAAAAATCAGCGAAGGAAATGTGGAGTAGTCTAAATGAATCGTTTGCAGAGAAGTCTGTGCTAAGTCAGCTATTGGTACGTAAGCAGTTCACAACGCTACGCATGCGAGAGGATGAGTACCAGGATTGGATTGAAGGATTGGTTTGAAATCTCAAATTATCTG